GCCCGCCCCGTTCGGCCTCCAGGCCACCGCCCTCCGCCGCCCTGCTGGCCGGGGCACTCTTGAGCCCGGGCTTGGCCAAGAGGCGGGCGGAGCGAGCCCGGCGCGGCGGGGCCGGCCGCACAGCTGGAAGCACGGCCCGCGAGGGAGGAGGCGGCGCCAGCACGGCTGCTGCTGTGCTGGGCAGCTGGAAGCGGCTGCGGGGCATGGGCCGACCTGAGGCCATGGCTGCCTACCTGGCTCTGGCGGCGCAGTGTCCGGGGTTCGGCGCTGCTCGGTATGACGTTCTGGAGCTGAGCACGGTGAGGGGGAGAAGGGAGAAGGGGACTCTGGCGGCCCAAGCCCCACACCTTTGCCCCAGAGCCACAGGCCCCCACTGTGTGTCACTTCATTCCCTACAGCCAGAACAACTGCCCATTTCAAGCCCCAGAAGTCACCAGCTCTTGGGCTGTCACGTCCCTGGAACCCTTTAGCCTCCTCCATACTTGAGCTGTGAATCATAGGGGGGTCCGGAAACTCCCTGATCACAGCTATCTCCCCCTACCAAAAAATAATGCTGCAGGGTCCCCTCCTTCCACCCTGACTCTGCTCATCTACTGCAGGAGCCTGGTGGGGGTGCTCCACAGAAGCTATGCCTGGGCCTGGGAGCCAAGGCCATGTCCCTCTCCCGGCCCGGTGAGACAGAACCCATCCACAGCGTCAGCTATGGCCATGTGGCCGCCTGCCAGCTAATGGGACCCCACACTCTGGCACTGAGGGTGGGAGAAAGCCAGCTCCTCCTTCAGAGTCCCCAGGTGGGTGAGAAGAGGGGTTGTGGGAGGAGGGAAGGGAAGAAATGTCAAGAAATGTTACTGAAGGCTAGTACAGTTCTAGGCACTGGGGATCCAGCAGTGATCAAAGACAAGGTCAGAGAGCTTACATTAGAGTGGGGGAGTCAGACAATAAACAAGAAATTAAAGACTATTTAAGACAGTGATAAATGCTACAAAGAAAAGAATAATATGACTGGAGGTACCATAGCATTAGATAGTCGGGGAAGGATTCTTAAATAGGGTGACATTTAAGCTGACCATAGGAAGGTCTGGGGGATCAGCGTTTCAGGTAGAAGAAATTGCAAGTGCAAAGGCCCTGAGATGAGAGTAAACTTGGCCTGTTAGAGGAGCAGAAAGAAGCAAGTATGATCGGCACATACTGAGTGAGGAAGGAAATGTCGCAGGGGCCAGAGCACAGAGGAACATGGTAGGAAAGGGAGCGCTAGAGCCTGGATGGAGAATGAGAAAAAAGAAGAAAGTCGAGTGGCCCCTGTTGCACACTGACCTCCGCCTTCTCTTAGGTGGAAGAGATTATGCAGCTGGTGAATGCCTACTTGGCCAACCCGTCCCCTGAGAGGCCCTGCAGCAGCCCTTCTCCATGCCAAGACCTGCCAGACACCTCCTCTCCCAGCCAGCACCCAGGCCTGGACGAGCCCCAGGGACAGTCTGGCTGTTTGGGGCAGCTGCAGGACTGAGCCTGCCAAGAGGTCACGACCTCTTTTCTGCCTCCAGCCTGGGCCAGGCCTGCTCTGAGATTTGAGGGAACCATGGACCCTTTTGGCCCTGCAGGGACAGGGCACACCCCACATGCAAGGGCTGCAATGGGTGTGGACAATTTTATAGTTTGTTTCTTAATTTATTTGTAGAAGAGAAGCAAAAAAAAAATCATTATTTACACAAACCTTTTCTGTGGGAGTGTTGTCAGTGGGACTTGTTGGAGCCCCAGGGCTCAGAGCTCCGCCCCTGGGGACGCCCACACTCTGGGCTTTTACCAGGCACTGAGAGGAGTCTGGATATCACAGAGCTCCACCCTCCTTGACATTCTGAATTTAACCTCCTCCTGGCCATTATGCTGCCATAGGGTGCTGGATAGGGCAGGCAAGAAGGCCATTTTGGAAGCTGGCAATTACTCACCCTCTCTTCTCCCTTGGGTGGTAAAGGGGTAGCCTCCTGGCATCCCTCAGGCTAGAGAGCAGTGAGTCAGCAGGACTGGCACTGCTCAGTTCCTACCCTGGTATACAGCTTCCGGGCCCTGGTTGGGTCCATCTTTAGTGTGCCTACTACTTTTGGCTTGGAATGGAGAAGGTTGGGGCAGGATATGTACTCAGAAACTTGCCTGGCACAGAAAAGAACTCTCCTGAGTTCTATTCCTGTCTATCAAGGTGGGTTGAATTGGGTTGAGTTCCTGAGAGTCTGATGGCCCTGGGCACTGGGCCTCCAGAGTCCCAGCTTTCCTGACCTGCTCAGTATGTAGAGGGCCCTCCTTCAGTTGACCCCACATCCTCTGCCCTGAGTGCAAGAGTCTGGGGCAACATTGGCCCACCCGGGGACAGGAGTTTAGGCGCTGAGGAAAGAGCAGACCTCAGTAATCTTCTCATCTTGAGAGAAAGGCTGACTCCAATAAAAGCCTGGTTCAAAGCAAGAGATGCCAGTGGCGACAATGGACACACTAAGACCTGCACTAAGTGGTAAGAAGTTATAGAAGGTAAAGGCCATCTTATGGTCACATGCCTAGAAGGTGGAGATCCCTTTACCATCCCCCATATTCACAGCTCAATCCCAGACTATATTCACAACCAAGCTTTACTACTTTATCAGAGCTGAACAGGCACATCAAGGGTCAGGGCATGGAACCCTGTAGTGCCAGCTTCTTGGCTGGAGATGAACCTAGAAGGATTGTCAGTGAGGTGAAGTTGGGTGAGAGGGACCAGGCATGGTGGGGGCTGTACTTCCTATACACTGGGAGTAGGGGGATGGGAAATCACTGCTCCTGGGTGCCCCAGGAGATGTAGTCTGGCCGTGTGGCAGCGTGGTACTCATCCATAAGCTACTGAACAACCTCCCTGGACGTGTCCATCTCATCAAAGTCGTCCTTGAACACGTCCTCCTTGCGGAACTGCTCCAGGAAGGCATCCCACTTCCGCAGCTTGTCGAACTGCTGGCAGGAACTTTCAAAGAGCTGAGAGAGATGGAAACCTCCAGAATGGATGCCAGTGTAGTACAGGGGATTAGGAACGGACTGGAGGAAGGTGATGAAGATGGCTAGTGAAACTGAGTGGCCAAAGAAGACCAGGCGACGAGACTCACCGAGGAGATGCTGGTGTGGTTGGCCATCATCAGACCGCTGACACGGTGGGCTGAGGGCAGGTAGGGAGACTTCCTGGACAGGGCCACCTGGATGCTGGCTGGGCCCCAGGGGATGAAATTGGCCAACTTCCGTTCCCGGATCCTCTGCAGGCTCTTGTGGACCTGGGGTGGGCACAGGAGTGGTGATGGTAGCCTCTCCTCTACCCCTGCAGGTTCAGGGGGTAGAACTGAGGGGCCTCACCCACCTGGGTGGGGTCCACCTCTCCCTGGATGATGTTGAGGATGGCAATGTAGCAGTGGTTGGTCTGGCGGTCCCGGCCCGTGGACACCATCACATTCTTGGGCTGTAGCAGCCGCCTCATGACATCTAGGACCGTGGTCTTCCTTACGCTAGCCACCTGATGGGACAGTGGGTCACAGGGACCAGGCCAGCACTCAGGGCACAGTCCATTGATTCATGGACAGAGAACAGTGCTCAACACATGCTCCCATCGGACTCGGGGTAGGAGGATCTCTGTGGGGAATGTCTTTATTTATTTATTTATTTTTTCCTTTTTTTTTTGTCTTTTTTCGTGTCCGGCAACGGATCGCAACCCTCAGTGTCGCGCCCGTACCGGACCGGGACCGGCAACGGGATCGCAACCCTCAGTGTCGCACCCGCACCTCGCTCAGCCAGTGAGCGGGAACCGGTCTGTATGTGGGATCCGAACCCTCGGCGGGAGCCTTGTGCAGTAGCAAAACCCAACTCCATACAACCCAAGGCCTGCAGGAGCCAAAGGCAGAGGGAAGACAGGAAGATGGGAAGACAGAGAGCATGTCAGCAAGAAAGCTGTAGATCTGTGCCTGAGCGCAGAGCCTCTGGGGGCTGCAGAGGGCAGCTCCTGGGGTAGTGGGGTAAGAGGAAGACTAGGTTGGGGCCTGCCAGGTCCAGGGCCAGCCTGGCCTGGGCCGCTGAGGGTTGCTCTTACTGACTGGTCCGTGGTGAGGGGGGTGTAGCCGGTCATGAGGAAGTGGAGCCGGGGTGTGGGAATGAGCGAGGCAATGAGGCCGATGAGGTCGTTGTTCATGTAGCCAGGGTAGCGCAGGGTGGTCGTGCTGGCCGACATGATGGTGGACACCTGGGGACAGGGGTGTCACTTCATAGGCCTTGGCCTGGATGAGCCTCCCTTCCCCAGATGGCCCTCCAGCAAGGAGGGTGTCCAAAGGAGTCCAGGAGTGGGCAGTGGGTGCTCACCAGCTGGTTGATCTGGGAGAAGGACGGGTTCTGGATGTGCAGGCGGTCTGTGGCGATCCGGTTCAGGGCTGTGTTGTCCAGCACCACCTGGGGGACAAAAGAGGGTCACAGCACATTTTGGGGGACAAAAGGGGCATAGAAATAAGATATTAGCTTAGTCCCTGCTAAATTCTAAAATCAGGGAGCAGGTTTGTTAATTTAAAATATACTGTCTCTGGCGCATCATGAGACACTTTTGGACTATGCAGGTTAGTAATCAAATATGTGAATGCCCCCTTGTGCCACACACTGTGCCTGGATCTAGAGAGACCATGGAGGGGAAACAGCCATGGTCTTTCCCCTCATCAGGCCTACAGTCTGGTGGAGAGATTGATGTTAAATATGATGTCAAAAAGTTCACGGAAAGATTTATATCATTTTTTTTTTGGCAGCTGGCCTGTACAGCACATTAATTTTTAATTCAATTTTTCCACAAACTACCCTCATATAAAACAACAGAAAAGTATAGTTAACAACCTGAAATATGCACAAAGGAGTTTGACCTTGACTGGGCAGTCAGGGAAAGTTTTCTAAGAAAGTGGCCCTTGAGGGCCGGCCCGGTGGCGCACTGCTACAGTGCGCCGCTTGGGAAGCGTGGCAGCGCTCCCGCCGAGGGTTCGGATCCCACATACAGACCGGTTCCCGCTCACTGGCTGAGCGAGGCACGGGAGCAACGCCGAGGGCTGCGATCCCGTTGCCGGTCCCGGTCCGGTACAGGGGCGACACTGAGGGTTGAGATCCGTTGCCGGACATGGAAAAAGACAAAAAAAAAAAAAAAGAAAGTGGCCCTTGAACTGAGAGTTCAAGCGTGAGTAGGCATTAAGTGGGCAAAGTGGGAGTACATGGTAGTGGTGGGGGTATATTCACCTTGTTAGGAGTCTTGCTGCCTAAAAGGACTGTAAGCAACTTGGAGGTGGGGACCTTATTTCATAATTCGGCCCATAAGGTATGACTTCTTTTTCCCCCCGGCAGTTGGCTGGTACAGGGACTGAAGGGTATGACTTTGTGGTCCTCTGTTCTCTGTGTGGACAGGGGCTGGGGAAGGGCAGGGTGTATGTGACTCACTGGCTAGGGGAGGCAGACCAAAGCCCCCACCTCCTTCTTCCTTTGCTCACCACACAGTCTGCGTTCTGGGTCAGCCTCTTGAGCGTGAGGAGTGAGTTGTAGGGCTGGACCACCATGTCGCTCATCTCTTCCTGGTAGGGAAACACTGAGTACATCTGCACCAGCTTCTTGGGGTACCTGAGGGTGAGAAAGGGGGAAAAGGGGAGGGTACACAGTGAATTGAAAGGACCCCCATCACTGCCCATCTCTGTACATCGATGTACATCAATGCGCATCTGCCCATTTTCTAGGAAAAACAGGGACCAATCCTTTCCAAGTGCCACCAAGCTCTTATGCAAAAGTGGTGAGGACAGAACTGAGTCTTCAGAGCCAAAAAAGGTTGGCCTCAAGCATGAAAATCTGTAGATCCTTCCCTTCCCTAGGTAAATCCCCTGTTCCCCAAGTTATTTCTTCCAAGATGTTCCTCGGGTAGGTCTGTCCGTAAGACCCAAAAGGGTTAGTGGCAGACCTTCCAGATCAAGAGGAAAAAGTGACTAAAAGGACAGACATTACCCAGGGAACCAGGGTTAATGCCATCTTCCCAAACACAGGCTTACCTGTCATTCAGTCTCTCCAGGAGGTAGGAGCCCAGGCCAGAACCTGTCCCCCCAGCAATGGAGTGACACAGCACAAAGCCCTGTGTGTATACAGGAAGAAACTAACTCAGTTTCTCTAACGGTACTCTCACAACTCGCTTCTGACACTAGATGTGTGTGTGGGGGGGGTTCTCCACACAACAAGCAAGCAACCAATTCTGCAACAGACACCGGCTGGATGTCCTCTGATTCAGTTCAATTCTGGCACTATCTCTAGAGTGTCCCCAACTCACGATGGTTTGACTCACAAGTTTTCAATTTCGTGGTGGGTTTATTGGGACATAATCCAATGTGTTTTGACTTGGGATATTTTTAAATTATAATGGGTTTTTCAGGATGAAACCCCATTGTACATCAAAAAGCATCTGTACCTGAAGATAGCGTCAGATCCCACAGGTTGAAGGCTCAGTCCCAAAAGACTGCCCTCCACTTCCGATGGCAACTGCAAGTGGCATGTGCCTCTGACAAATGGCTATAAAACAAAAAGCTATGGGGTTCTGCTCTAGAGTGGCAACAGTGTCCCAGGGTAGAGTTCTTTGTGCTGAAAAGAGATATTCTCCAGAACCAAAAAGCTATGGAGTTCCCATGACACCCTCCTAGGGTCCAATTAATTTGCTAGAATGAAGGGCCGGCCCGTGGCTCACTCAGGAGAGTGTGGTGCTGATAGCACCAAGGCCACGGGTTCAGATCCTATATAGGGAGGGCCAGTTGGCTCACTGGCTGAGCGTGGTGCTGATAACACCAAGTCAAGGGTTAAGATCCCCTTACCGGTCATCTTTAAAAAAAAAAAAATTGCTAGAATGACTCACAGAACTCAGCAAAACACTGATGTTTACTGGTGAATTATAAAGGACATTTTATTTTATTTATTTATTTATTTTTTTAAAGATGACCGGTAAGGGGATCTCAACTCTTGGCTTGGTGTTGTCAGCACCACGCTCAGCCAGTGAGCCAACTGGCCCTCCCTTAAGGGGATCTCAACTCTTGGCTTGGTGTTGTCAGCACCACGCTCAGCCAGTGAGCAAACCGGCCATCCCTATATGGGATCCGAACCCGTGGCCTTGGTGTTATCAGCACCGCACTCTACCAAGTGAGCCACGGGCCGGCCCATAAAGGACATTTTAAAGCATATAAATAAACACCAGGTGAAGAAATACATACTGTGAGGTGTGTATGGGTCCCAGTGCAGGAGCTTCCATCCCCATGGACTTGGGGTGGCCACCCTCCTAGCATGTAGATGTTCACTTTCCTGGAAGCCCCCTGAACTCAGCCCCTTTGGGGTTTTATGGAGGCTACATTACTTAGGCATGCTTGATTAAGTCATTGGCCACTGGAGGTCAATTCAACCCCTCCACCTCCTCAGAGGTGGGGGTGGGGCTGTGAATTCCAACTCTCAGAGCACAGTGTTGGTTTCCTTGGCAACCAGTTCCCCATCACATCACCTGTTCAGGCCACCTCCTGATTTTTCCCCAGCACTCTTCAGTCTCCCCCACTCCTACAGGGAGAACCTCACCTCTAGACTGTCACTTCCATCTGCTTCTTGGTCTATAATGTCAAAGATGTCTTCATGGATTTTCTCACCCTGTACAGTGACATGGGAAGGGAGGGTCAGGTCAAAGGTTCTGTAGAGCGTCTCTTCTCAGCACCAAGAGCTCTACCCTGGGACATTGTTGCCACCCTGAAGCAGAGCCTCAGATGTAGCCCTCAACTCCAAAATACTACTTTGCAAATGATTTGCTCGAAACTTACATAAACCTCTCCCTGGCTGTCCCTCTGGTCAGGGTATCTCTTTGTCTCATTTATTTTCAATATGGTCTGGTAAAATTCCCAGATTGCTTGAGCCTGCCTTGCCCTGGGGCAGGAATACCCAAGGGTCTCTGGAATGGTTCCCTGGACACCTGGGAGAATCCACTGGCCCAGTTGTTGCCAGCTCCTCCTCCATGCTCGGACAGGTAGATGTTCTCTGAGTTGTACAGCTTGGCATAGGGGGAGTTGAGGATGGAGTGGATCACCCGGGGCTCCAGGTCCAGCAACACCGCCCGGGGGATGTAGTGCTCATCGTCCGCCTGTCAAGGGGAGTCCGGGAAGGGGCCCAATCGGCTAGGACCTGCCCAGTCCTCAGTCCTCCCAACGCTGGCTCCTGCCGGCCCTCCCTCCTCAAGCCAGCCGCCTGGCCCTTTTGCCCAGCGGATTCCCCAGTACCAGGCCGCTGCCCTTCCCTTCAGGGCCCCGGGCCACGGCCGGCCCTGGACAAGTCGCTGGGGGCACCTGGTAGAAAAAGACGTCCTTGCGGTCAGTGCCCTCGGTGGCGAATTCCTCCACGATGCCCTCGGGGCTGATACCATGCTCGGCGCACAGTTGTTTCCAGAACTCGAACCCAACTGGGAGAGAGGGGGAGATGCCTGGGTCTACTTGAGTCCTAAGGCCTGAGGAGCCCAGCTGTAGGCTCAGAGGCTGTCACACTCAAGGGTGGACCCAAGACACCTGGGTCTCTGAGCCATCACGGCCCAGGGCTGAGGCACAGCTCTCGGTCTGGGTCATCATACGCAGGAGGGCAGGAGACTCATGGAAGGGAAAGAGGGACTAGTGGAAGCCGAGCTCTTGGGTAGGACGGGGAAGAGGCTGAACCAGGGACCGGAGGGCTCAGGGCTCTCTTGCTCACTCTGGCTGCCGCACTGGCCCAGCTGCAGCGCGATGATCTCCCGGGGCATTGCTCTTCAGACGTGGGCACGCCAGCCCCGGCCCTGCGGGAGTCACGACTGAGACGGAGGCCTGGCAGCCGGGCGCGCAGGCCGTGGGGAGCGCGCGCTCTCTCCGTCTTTTGACGCGCGTGCTCGGCTTGCGCGTGTGCTGTGTCGGCCTCCACTAGGCCAACAGGCCAGGGAGCCCAGCCTGGGCATCATTTTACCCCACAGCAGAGGCAGCTGGAATTCAGCACAGAGGCTGAATGAGGCCACGCCCTGATCCTGGCCACCGCTCCGCGCCTGCGTGGTGAGACGGCGGGGGCCGCAGGGTCGCAACCTGTGGGGGCGGGGCGGGGCGGGGCGGG